TAGGACAGGTACCTTGACATCCATGAAACAATAACTCCTTAATAGTATTTCCTTTACCAGTGCATTTTGAGGGATGATTAGTAATCCTGTCTACTAGTTCCATTCAGGAATAGGATAGCTCCACTGCCAATTTTGAGGGTAAGGTTTTAGTGGTTTTGTTCAGATTAAGTACCACTTTCTCTGCAGAAGCTTTTTTTTTTGGTGCCGGGGATCGAACTTGGGACCTTGCGCTTGCAAAGCAAGCGGCGGAACCACTGAGCTAAATCCCCAGCCCAAAGTACCACTTTCTTTTCCTAAAGCAACAGAGATTCTGCAAAGAGTTGGGTGGGGAACATTTTCCTGATAAAAGTATGAAAATTCATACTTCCTGACCAGTATAGCTACCCACCTATGTCAAAGACAGCAGAAGCATGCTGATGCTCTCTCTACCCACTGAATCTCGATACTCTGAGTAGGCTTTTAAGTTGTCCTTCAAGAAGATGTTCCTTCACTCAAGGAGGTGAGATGCTACTAGCAAGTCAATTCGAAAATGTAACCTGCTGAGTAAAAAAACCAAATGGGTGAATGGGGTGTGAAAATGGATATAAATCCTAATTTCTGGTCTGCTTCACTAAAAGATTCCTCAATGAAGGGAACGGTCACTTAGCAGAGGTTTTACATCCTCAAATAATTATTAACTTCTTTGGGCTGCAGTTTCCTTAACTTTGAAATGATGTTTCTAAACCAAGTTATTTATAAATTCCCTTCTAATTCTATGATATCAAAAGTTGGGGTGCAGCCAGGCCTGGTGCTGCATACCTGTAATCCCAACACTCAGGAGGCTGAGGCATGAAGATCACTAAGAGTTCAAGGCTATCCTGGGCTATGTAGTGAGTTCATGTCCAGCCAGAACTACACAGTAAGACCATGTCTTCAAAACAAAACAAAACAACCTAAAAAACAAATGGAAGGCAAATACCATTAGCTACACTGAACTGGGTTCTTCAACAATTCCTTTAAAACAAAAGTACTTAAGTCTTTAGCTCAGCTTCGTTAGAGCACTATTCTGTTGCATATCAACATCTTTTCTGTTGACCACTTGTGCCCTCTAGTGATAAATTTAATTATACAACAGAATTGGTTTGGGAAACAAGGCTGCTCCAGAGAAATAAATGGGGGTAGGGGGACACAGTAAATAAAGCTCTACATAAAGCAGAAGGAAGGAAGGCCAAAAACAGGGGGAAGAGGGGAAGGAAACGGTCATCACCTGCCATGTTGTCACTGACTGTTCCTTCCGCAGCAAACACTCTATGTCATTCTACTACATTAAGTTCCCACCTTGTCTGTAGTTTTGCTTTCCACAGTTTTAGTTACCTATACTGTAGTCAGCTGCTGTCTGGAAATATTAAATGAAAATTTCACAATAACTCATGATTTTAAAATTGTGTGATGATGTTCTCAGTATGTGATGAAACTTCCTGCCATCCTGCTCTGTGCTGTCTGTGATGTGAATCACTGCCCTGCTCGGCATATCTACACTGTACATTCTACTGCCTGTTCGTCATTTAATAACCTTCTTGGACATCAGATCAATTGTTAAGGCATAAGTGTTTGTGTTCAAGTAGCCTGTATTTTATTTATAACCTTGAAGCGCAAGAGTAGTAATGCTGCTTTTATTAAAGTACATTAATATAACAACTGTATTTTATTACTGTTGTTAATACTTACTATGCCTAACTTATAAAATAAACTATCACAGGTATGAATATATAGGAAAAAGTGTGGTGTATATATAAGGTTTGGCATTATATGCAGTTTTAGGCATCTCTTGGAGGTTTGGCAAAGTATCCCTCATGGATAAGGGAGACTACTCTATAGTAAAGAAAACATCAAACATACTCTTGAATATAAAAGCATACTTGAATCATTCAGGCATGATTGAAGTAACCTCTTCTTCAAATTAAGATTCAGATTCAGTTTCTTTTTCACTTAGCAAGACAAAGAATATCTTAAGATTTCCGGAGAATGTCATATACCTGATGTGGATGATGAAACAGAATTGTTTTGAACACATCTGTCAAGGAGGTGCAAAATATCAAATTATACATTCTCTGGTCTCGCTGGCTGATGATTTACCAGTAGGGATGAGTTTTGACTAAAACCACGGACTATGTTGGGCTGAAGCCAGGCCCCCAGTCTTTTCATCGTGTTCCCTGCTCCTCATGTCACTTGCAGAACAATGCCTGCCTGGCCTCATCATCTGCTCTATAGAGAGCAACCACCAGGGCCATTCCTGGCTATGAATCTTTTACATTTTGTTTACATTTTTCTAGATGGATAAAAAAGGAAATGGATTTCATGATATCAATAGAGATTTAGGTTAAACAATAGAAAAGCCTTCTTAACCATGTTATTACTGACATATGGGTGACAAATTAAAGAATCTTCTTTTGAAATCTTTAAAAAGCAGGGGAAAACTCCATACATACTTAAAATTATTTTAGCTCTCACTCTCACTAGAGGCATAAGACAAAGATAATATTGAAGTTTCCCCTCTACCCTTAATTATTACAGGATTATTCCATATATACAAACAAACAAGCAATGTTAACCAATAGTTAAAGAAATCAGAAGAATGGTTGCCTTTTAAGACAAAATTGATTGGAAAGGGGAATGAGAGAACTTTTTTTTTTTTGGTACCAGGGATCAAACTCGGGACCTTGCGCATCCAAGGCAGGTGGTCGAACCACTGAACTAAATCCTCGGCCCGAGAGAACTTTTTACAGTGACAGAAAAGTTCTGTATCTTGATTTGGGTGGTGGTTATATTTGTATATGTCAATGCCAAAACTCACTAGGTGGTACATTTAAAATCTATGCATTTTATTGACAAGTTACATCTCAGTTTTTAAAAAAAGGTATCTGAGTCTTGGGATGAGTGAACTTTAAAAATAACAGATACCATCATTCTTAAGGAGTGGGCTAGGAGAGAAAAGGGAGCTGGTATAACCACAATAGCAGATAAAATTTTCCTGAGCCAAAACCAAGAAGGAAAATAACTGCCCAGGCCTCTTGGCAGTATTTACACTGATTACTAACAGTGACATTTCAGTGGAATCCCCCTCCTCTGACTGGTTCAACTTGTTGCTGCAGAGCTAAGTCAAGTCTACTGTCTGATGGATGGACATGAAAGTACGGAAGAGAAAGTGAACACAATATTTTAAGATTTTGCTGGTTATCTTGAAGTAGAGTTGCAGCAATTTACACTGGGCCGTCACCAGGTATGTTGCTCGGTGGGCCCATAGAGACAATGGCTTTACACCTGCTAGCATCTGAAGACAGGGCTCAGAGGAGAGAAACAGATAAAAGTTTCATTGAAATAAATAAACTGGAGCAATGAAGCAAGCCAATATAAGACTAACAAAAAGGATTTGTCACTCTGTGTTGACTCAGCCTTTCTTTCTGCAGAACCATGAATGGGGCTAGAGACTGGAACCCAGAATGTGCTTGTGCCGACCCCCACGGACCTGCATATGTTCAAGTCACCAGTCTAGAGGCAACAGTCTGCTCATTATCCTTTTAGATTCACAATGGAGTCTGCTTGACACATAGGAAACATTTGTAGATGCCTTGAGCAACTGAAAGAGTGAACTATTTTTCAGCCTGACAAATGACTTTCATGTCAAACCTCAAGTCCCCGCTTTTCCTTACCAACCAGAAACTTTACTAATTTTAAGTCAATGGTTCTAAAATGAAGTTTTCTGAGAGGCTCTACATCAAGATCATCTTAATTTTCCTTACTTGGTAGCCTAGGCTAGATTTTCCAGTGCCAAGAAGTTTATAAGAACAGAGACAAAGATTTTCACTTGAAAAAAAGAATTCTATGACAACAAAACCATCCTTATTGCAACTCCTTGGATTTAAATGGCCTGTATAAGCCTCTAGGGATTATGTTCTATTTCAATGCTCTGTAATCTATTACTCAAATTCTCACTTTAACTATAGTTCCCCAAAGAAACTTCCTATACTCTTCCTGCCCCTGAAAGCCTTTCTTGGCCCCTTAAAGAATCTAAGAGTTGCTACTGTTTGGATATGTGCAAACACACACACAGGCATTTCTTCCCCAAGGGAACCTTTAGGCGCTATTTCCACATTATACGACTCATCTTTGTGAAGTGGCCTTAGCTTTAACCAAGGGTATGCAATTTTCACTTATGTTACCATTAGTCATTATGAATACTGCTTTTAGGAAAGACACTATTGATTGCTTAGGGCTAATATATAGGCAGGTCAGTGACAATATACTACCTCTGTACCTATAATTAGTTAATGATTTTCAGTATGTTATTAGGTATATTCCGAGAACTATCAAGTACAAAAAGGCAATAACTTACATATAATTTAAAATAGAAAGGCATATGTATTTTAATTAATTTAATCAAAATCAAATTCCTTCCTTACTGCAAAACAATACTGAGATGAAACCTCCATCATTCTACGGTGTCTGAGTAGTTCACAGGAACCTAGATTATCTTCAGGAACTCTGGGGACAGGCCTTTAACTGCAGAGAGGGATTTGATGCCAGGCTTCCAGAGATGGAGTTATAGGAGAATCTTATTTCAAAGTCAAATATAAATGACATTTAGACTGATATTTTACATTTGCCATATGTGGGTTCCTCTCTATTGATACACATTCATAAGGAAATTGATACCACTTTTTACTTTTCTTTCAAAGATTTCAAAATACTTTATATAACCCAGTAACATTCATGAGAGAAAAGGAGGCTATAATGGTGTTAGAGACTGGCAGGTGGGATAAATGGATGCTGGAAACTTGTCCAAGAGCAGGGCCTCATTACACCATATGAATCACCAACTAACACCTGCCACACCTCTCAGAGGAACGCCTGGCTTCAAACTCCCCAACACAAATCTGCACAGGCCCTGGCCTTCCATGAAAACTATGCATAAGAGCAAGACTGAGCCCTTACGGTTCAGTTCTCCCCGGCTTGTCACTTACCCATGTTTCTTTGACCTCTTCAGAATCACCAGCTTCATCCTCCTGAAAAAAAGGAGAAAGAAAAACAAGAGGATCATCTTGGAACGCAACAAGGTCAGTTCCTGTCAATTATTCATCGTCTTGGCAATTCAAATGTGGGCGATGAGAACTGACAGCCAAGTGTTGCTGTTATTGACACTTTCAACAGCCATCACAGGAGGGCAACTTAGAACATCACCTATAGAAAAAAATGTCAGATAACCAGGGAGAAAAAAGGCATCTTCAAGAAGAGAATTAACTTCATTTCTTTCATTTCTGTCAAAAGTTACCAGTTACAGGTTGGGGATGAAGCATGATGATAGAGTGCTTGAGTAGCACGTGCAACCCTTTAGGTTCCATCCCCAACACTGGGGGAAAAATGTTATCCATTTGTTTGGCCCTGTAAAAAGGAAATATTTTTATCTAAAAGATAGTTTCTAATAGATGACAGTTACTGTCTCACATCTCATCTCACTGACTAGATTTTATTGACTTTTCAAATGAATTACTGGTAACTAGGGGCCTTTGGTTCAGGTTACTGGGCACTTAATTTTTAAAATGTCAACAAGGCTGAGAGGATAGAGAACATGATATGGAGGAGGATGCATTCAAGTATTGAAGGTGTGTTTGTGGCTAATAGGTATTGGTGTATTTTTCTTTATTTAAAAGCCAAAGTTAATTTGTTTCATATTATTTATTTCCTTTTTCTTTTAAAAGAATACAATTGGGTCAAATGAACTTGTGTTAACTTACAGATTTTGAAATTCTTGTATCTCTCCTAAAATAGTCAGAATCTCTGTTTATATATGGTATTAAGATACTGTTGACTACATGAGTTTCCGAGACTTGTTACAGTTGTTTATATGATTACTTAAATCTCCAGGTTTTTAAAGATGTCATCAATTATTTATTGAATCCTCATGATATGCTCAGCACTATTCTGGGTCCTGGCCATCCAGGAGGAACATACCAAATGAGTCCCATACTAGTCGAGTCTTTCTTCTCTTTTCCTCAGTAACAACAGTTCTTGGCAATCTACAAGATTCATGGTATAATGAGGACTTTTTCTTTTGAACTCAACAGAAAAGATCAATGGACCAATGCACTTACATCCTTTGTCCAGAAGTTGATGCCCGTGCCTCTCCGACGTTCCCTGGGCCGCCTCCTCTCTCGGATGGACAGCCGATTAGAGGACTGATCATCCAAATCTGCTTCTTCACTCTCTGGCCACAGAGAAAACAAAATACGGATCTTAATAATCTGGGCATGTGCGCTGGGGAGCAGTGTGCATCTTTTAAACTCTACCCACCATTCTTGTCCATTTCCTTTGCAGTTACAGTGTTTGTGGCAGTCTCCGAAATCTCAGAATCAGGGACCGAAGATTTACTCGTCCGTAGCAGATGAGAACTGGTGTAAAGTGAGGGTCTTGACACAGAAGGAGACACCGGGGTTGTGGGTTTATCTGGCTGAGTTGGACACCTCAGTCGACGATAGACAGGCTGGAAATAATCCACAGAATAATGGCAGATTAATTCAAAATGGGTTTTTTTTAAAATTAAGAAGTTTATTAGTAGTTGACACTTGATCCTCAGCTATTGAATGGAACTAAAATTAGTTAATTAGCTAGCAGAAAACAGCTTCTGGGCTCCTACTCTGACCACACCATCATGCTGATAGCAGTCCAGGCAAATTACTCCTAAAATGACCAATGGGTACCACAGATAGCACTAAATATGTTAATAAAAATTCTTTTGATTTTGGAATGGAAAAGGAAGAATTATGGCCCCTTTAAGATGGAGTACTGAGAGCCAGTTTAACTAGGAAAATTATTATTATTATGTTATGTAGGAAAATTAAAAGCTCAGGAATATGAAGAAGCACAATATAGGAATCATCTGAGAACAAAGAACAAATATGAGAATTCTACCAATTTCTGAATACTCTCCAACTTGCCATAACAAGAGCTCCTGAAATGTTCATCATTTTTTTATGGTACTGGGAATTAAGTCAAGGCCTTATACATCTTAGGCAAGTGCTCTACCACTGAGCTACATACTCAGTCCCCTGAAACTTCTTTTAAATTCTCATTTTCACCTTTGAAATCTTTTTTTATGAGAGTTAAGACACAATTGACAATAATCTTAACTTGGTTTACTGAATACAGAGAGGTAAATTCTTAATACATATTAAGTTCGCAATGTATAAATTGTATTTTTTTTTTTATTTTTATTTTTTGAGGCACTGGCGATAGAACCCAGGGCCTTACACATGCTACCATGAGATTCTATATTTTTAAATTTATAAATTATAACGACAGAAGCAATAAAACAAAATAAGCTTTGGAATCTCAGCTTTATCATCTGTAACATAGGGATATAATATTGTCTTTAGACCAAATGGTAAGGATTTGGTAAGGAGCTAAGTATGTTAGGTGCTTAGCACAATACCAAGTAATAAATACTCAATAAATGGCAGCTTGTAAGACAAAATACACAACAGAACCTCAGTACTTGGAAACTAGCCATTCAGAGTTATAGCAAGAAACAGACTCCTTTATCCTATAACTACAGTGACCATAATATTTATCAGTCTATAATGGGACACTTTTGATAGTGCAAAGAAGGAGTAGTAATGATAATTACACAGAGACAACAGTTGCAATTTGAACCATCTTAGGTAAACCAGGAGTTACATTTGCCCTAAATATATCCTTTTAGCTGTGACTAAGAACTCCACTACAGAACTCAAACATAAATCAAATGTTCATCCCAATAGTGACCTCCAGGAATACTTTGTAAGGTCTTAAGTGTGCAGCAGTTTGGAGAGCATCAGTGGTCAAATCAGACTGTTATGGTTTAGATCTGAGGTATCCTGCAAAAGCTGAATGTGTTTGGAAGGTGAGTAGGTCGTGGGGCGCAATACTCACTGGTGGATTAATTTATTGATGAGTTCATAGCTGACTTGATGTGAGAAGGTGCTCCTGATTAGAGGTGGGTCACTGGGGACATGACTTGGAAGGGTGTATCTCTCTCCCTGGCTCTTCCGTTTGCTCTTCCTGCTTCCTGGCTGCCATGACATGAACACCTTTCTTCCATACCAGACCCTTCCAACCTACCAACCATGGACTGAAACCTCTAAACCTGTGAACCAAAGTAAACCTCTCCTCCTTTAAATTGTGAGTGTCAGGTATTGTGTCTCAGCAATGAGGAAAGTGACTAAGATAGATTTTCTGTGTTAAAATCCTTGCTTACCTACTCCTTAGGTATATGAAATATTAGGCAAGTTGTTCAACCTCTGTGACTCAACTTCCACATATAAAATTGAAAAGCAATGTCTACCTCAGAGGGTTGTTTGAGGATTAAATGAATTGATACACATAAAGTGCTTAAAATAGTATCTGGCATGAATACTCAATAAATGCTTGTATTTTGCTTTTATTTGCATTGTATTACCAATGACCTCTTATTTAGAAAATAAAGATTTTTATTAAAATGCATTAGTTAATTCCCAGACAGAAAAAGGCTAAAGACTGGCATCCTCTGAGTTCTTTCACATACACAGATTTACCAACTAAAGACTGCCATTAACAGTGTTTTGTTTTTCTTTCTGTGGTATTTGGAATTAAATCCAGGGCGTTCACACTGAGCTATACCTCCAGTCCTTTTTCATTTTTTATTTTGAGACAGGATCTCACTAGGTCACTAAGTTGCCCATGCTGAGCTCAAACTTGCGATCCTCCTGCATCACTCACCCAGATGCTGGGATTACAGGTGTGTGCTACCACTCCTAGCTTTAAACAGTGTTTTTAAAGAGTGGTGCACTGCAAAGGAGAACAGCACTTGAATTATCAGTGAGGAACAGATTCACCAAATTACCCTGCTTTCAGCACATTAACGGCACCCCAAACAAGCTTACCTCTTCATCCAGACTCTTGCTCCAAGGTTGCTGGCTCTCCCCAGCTTCCTTTGCCAGTACTGTTGAGGGGTCTTGCTTCTTGGTGCTCCCTTCCAGCCCTGCAATATCAGCAGGCTTCTCACTAGGCTGCTCTTGAGCTTGGCGCTCTGTCCTTGAACAGCTAAAAGTCCTTTCAGCTTCCTGAAGGTCTGTTAGGGTAACACCCTGGAAAGATATCACAAGATCAGGGCAATTTCATATTAACATGAATAACTCTTGAGGCATAAGCAGGGAAACTCCAAAAAGATCAGATAAAATTGTCAAATCTCAAATGAAGCTCTCAAAATGTACAATGTGGCATTTTAAGCCATATGTGCTTAAAATAAGCACTTCAGTGTGCAAAAAACCCAGGTCTGGGTCGAGGTGCATTTCCAATGTAAAACTTTAGCTTTCCCAATTTGATGTCCAGAAATAGGTCATCACTGATGTCTGCCTGGTATAGATGTACTTCTTCCACACCAAATGTTCTCAGTGTCTTTATTTGAACACTCTCTACCTGGTTCCAAGATCAAACAGTTAAAAAAAGAGATTCTCTGAATAGCAGATAATGGAAAAAGTTCATTTTACTCATAGAAAGTAAACAACTCAAAAAAGTGAAAATTTAGAGGTAGGCTAGAACAACAAACAAACAAATCCCCCTCAAAATGCTAGAGTAGCTTTACTCTAACATTTTCCCCAAGTAACTCCAGGAATCACACAGAGATGTTCCAACAATCAGTTCTCCTCCCAGGTTATTGAAGTAGCAGGACAGAAAAAAAACAAATGATGAGTCACTTCTAGCCGGGACAAAAGGAGTCAGGCAGAGAGCGAGACGACTCAAACTCAAGCAGTTACATGCTCAAGTCCTCGGAGCATGAAGTCCCCAAGCTGAAGGTAGTCGATTGGGTACCATATCTATATCTTACTTTAAAAAAATAAATTATTCATTTATTTATTCATTCTCTTAATAAAAATGAAGTGTCATTAAGCACTAAAACTACAAATACAAAACAAATGGCTACTGTCAAGGACTTTTTAACCTAGCAAAACTGAAAGAAAACAGATGAGGAAGTTGTGGACAGAAAAAATGGTAGACTGGTAAGGGGCTACAACTCAGCCTCTCCGAGATTTGGAATTCAGACATTGAAAAATAGAAACTAGGGAAAGAAAAAAGAGAAAGAGAAGAGGATTCCCAGGAACCAAGAAGGTTCTGACAGGAAAATTAAAAGCCATAGAGAAATTGGAGAGAACACAATGCAGAGAAGGGAAGAAAGTCACTGTACTTTCTCCCTGGCTCCCAGCTCCTGGCTCCTGGCTCCTAGCTCCTAGGAAAGGGAGACCAAACCTACAGAGACAAAGTGAATGCTGGGGCTCCAGGGGCCCCAGGAGAAATGGGATGCTGGAATGGACCCGCCACTGCTGTGATTTGCAGGAACAGCATAGGATTCTGCTCCCATGGGAGTCCTTTGACAGGCAACAGCTGGGGGATTCATCCTAATCTAAGGACCATCACATCCCTGGAGAGAGTGCTTGGTCAGATACCATTCCAGGAAAGGGTGAAGTGTTTGAACCCGGGACTCAGGCCATGGGACAGCTTTACTTCGGGGGTCCCAGTGTTCCCCTGGTTCTGAGACAGACATGGGAGACAGCCTTAGTCAGGAAGCAGGCTGGAAAGAGACCCCCTGAGGGATTTGAGCTAAAGGACAAAGGCCCCACTCCCATACCCAGAGGCCAGGCTCAGGCTGAGTTGCTCTGGATTTGAAAGACTGCATTGGCACTCTCACCCTTCACCTACTGCCTGCTGGTGCCTGCATCCAGAATGGATCTGAAGTCTGACTGCTTTATCTCTCAGCATGAGCAAGGACATGTCTTGAGTTGGTCACTGTCACAAAATTGTAGATCCAGAAAGAGAACCATGCATTTAAAAATCACAGAGAGCTCAGTGGTTCCGCTGCCTGCCTCGCAAGTGCAAGAACCTGAGTTCAATCCCTGGTACCAAACAAATAAACAAACAAAAATCACAGAGAAATGTGTTTGTGTGTATTTGTATGTGTGTGTGTGTGCATGTTTTTTTCCCTTTCTTCTTCACTAGTTTATTGGGGTTTGGGGAAAATTTCTTTGTCCTTTGTTCTTGCTTCTTTTTTCTATCTCTTTTCCTTCTTTTTTTTGGTACTGGGGATCGAACTCACGTCCTTGCGCTTGCGAGGCAGGCAGCAAAACCACTGAGCTAAATCCCCGGCCCTTTTCCTTCTTCTTTTATTTTTCCCTTCTTATCCCTTTTATTTTCCGTCCTCTAACTTTTTCTCTATTTTTATTCTCCATATAATTTTTCTCTTTTTTTCTTCTATTTCTTATCAGAATTTTTGTTCTATAAATATCTTTCTACTCACCAAAAAACATCCTTTGTCTTTCTTCTCTTCATATCCTACAGTTTAATGTTTTAAATTTTTCTTCTTAAAATATTTTGTTTGCATTTCCCAGTTTCCATCCCTCTTTATCTTTAATAGTATTACCATAAAGCTTTATTAATCTTTAGTTAACTCTAGAAAATTATTGTTGAATTCATTTCTACCATTAGCAGAGATATAGCAGTCACATTTAGAACATGGTAGCTGAAAGTAATACCTGGGTTGTCTTAGTGTTTATGTGGATTTCTTCTTTAGGGTTAAAGTGATACACAATTCATTCATATGGTATGGTAATAGCCAATTTGTCTTGGGTGATTCTACTGTAGCTGATTTGCTTGATACCAGGGTCTCATAACTGTCACTATTAATGGGTTTTCTCTATAAACCAACACTCAGATTACTTTTGTGACATTAATAGTACTACTCTAGATCCCAGAGAACTCAGTGTTGGGCCATTACATTGAATTGTACCTTCCCAAATTAACTAAGGCAGTTGGGCTTTGGGAAAGAGGCAAAAGATCATAGTTAGCCATGCCCAAAGTACATCACTGAAAAGTGACTGACTAAAGAGAACTCTATACTAACAACAAAGCCATGACACTATAAATGTCCACAAACCTCAGCACAAAACAAAAACAAATAATAGAAACGTGAGAAGACTAGGCAACCAAAATGCCTCCCAAAATTCACAATTCCGCCAAAGCAAATCCAGGGAACACTGAGGGGGAGAACAGCATAAGCCATACACCTAAATGACTCAAAAGGATAAGAGAAGAGGTTAGAAAACAGATCAAAGAAGTACTCAGCAGGATCACAGAAGATACAACTAAACAGATAATGGAAGTGTCTTAACTTTTCTCATTGCTGAGACAAAATACCCAACACCCAAAGTTAAAAGAGGAAAGGTTTATTTAGCTCACAGTTTGCAGAGGATTCAGTTCATAGTCAGCTGGCTCCAAGGCAGGGTGGCATGGCAGAGGGCCATGGCAGAGGAGAAACAGTTCATGGCAGGCAGAAGACAGCAAAAGCAAGCAAGCAAGTCACAAGCGACAATAGCAGCTTCTTTCTGCCCCTTTTATATTCTATCTAGGCTACATGGCTTAGGGCAGGTGCCAAACCAATCAGTGGACTAATATAGTAATCACACACCCTTAATCCCAGCATCACACATTCTAAATCCAGCTACCTCTGGAAAAGATCCACCTAGGACTGCATAAGGCTTTGTGGAGACATCTAGACACAGCCACAACATTTCACCCTTGGCCCCCCCAAAGACTCAAGCAAACCCCTTTATGCAAAAGGCAATTAGTTCATCTCTAAGAGTTGTCAAAGTCCTAACAGTGTCAGCATTGCTGAAAAAAGTCCAAGTCAAAGGTCTCCTGTGAAATTTAACCCAAACTCTTAGCTGCAAGCCTCTGTATGAAAGTTAAACATTTCCAATATACAACAGCACAAGATAAACTTTACCATCCCAAAAAGTACAAATAGGGGGATACAAAGGAATGAGATCAAAGCAAATCCAAAATCCAGCAGGGCAAACATTAAGTCCTGTAGTTCCATGTCCAGCATCCGAGGCAATTTGTGGCAAGATGCGAACTCCAAAGGGCTTTGGTGGCTCCTCTGCTAAGGCACTGCTGGTGGCTGCAGCTCCCATGGCTTCTCTCTTTGGCTGGTTCTGCTCCCTCCTTGCAGTTTTCCTCAGATGATCCATGTCTGGCTCTCCAAACTTCTAGAGTCTCTAATGCTTCTTGAGCTTCACACTCAGCTTCACACACTTCCCTCTCAGGGGCACACTGCCTAGCTTCCCAGGTATTCTTCTGAATTCTGGGTAGAAGCCTTCCTAATTGCACAAGTCTTGCATTCTGCATGGGGCGAAAACCAGCACCACATGGATGATGCTAAAGTCTGCCACTGGCTGGAGCCATAGCCAGACTTTCTTTTCTCTTGGCTATAAGTGTCAAGTGCCTGGATCACCAAGCACTCTGAAACTAATCCCAAAGAAAAAATTCTCTAGGCTGCTGCCATTCTGGAACACAGTGTTTTGGGGCTCTCTTCTCAAACAAAAGTCTTCACCTTTGCTACTCTGAGGCTTTAAAGGCTGCAGTCCTACTGGTTCTTGTGATGTCCTCGGGCCATTTTTTTCTGTAGTCTTCTTCTGAAATACCTGGCTTTTTCTTGCTAGTCTTTTCAGCAACCAATTTCTCCCAATTTGCATCTTTGAAGGCCGTAACTTCAGTGGAGCTTCCTTTCTGGTCAAACACACAACATTCTGAATCATTCTGCTGAGCTCTTTGCTCTTGATTCTCAACATAAATCTGGCCAAAAGCCCCCAAGAGTAGCCATGCCACTGCCTCAACATTAGGCTGCCTTGAAATTTCTTCTGCAAGATGAATTGATCTGCTGCCCTTAATCTCAGTCACAGGAAAAGTCTCAGGACACAAGTAAAATGCAAACAAACTTTCTGCCAAGGCATAATAAACATGTTCTGGAGTCCAACAGGCAATGCAGTCCTTTCTTCCCAACAGAAACCTCCTGAGCCTGGTCTTTACTGGCAGCATTTCTATCAGCATTCTGGTCTTCTGAGCTCTGACCAGAATCTCCCATCAAGTACTGCCTCAGGCATTCTAGGCCAGCTTTTCCAGGCATCTCTGAACCTTTCCAAACTCTTCCCACAAGCCAGTTCCAAAGTCTCCTGAACTACATGGTCAGGTATAGTCACAGCAGTGACCCCACTCCTGGTACCAAATTCTGTCTTTGTTACTTTTCTCTCATTTCTGA